GTCATTGTGGGCCACTGTGTATCTGGAGATGTGGAAGAGGTATTCCGCGCGCATTACCTATCGCTGGGATTTGTCTAATTTCGATGCCGTCGAGGAATATCCCAGACCTGAGTATTTGGTTAGTATTTGTTGTCATGCAGTCATTGTGTAATTCACTGTGTTTTGCAATTGTTTTTTGTTGAATACATTAAGTTATAATTATTACATTAGATAGTTATTTATAGTTATAAATATTTATATTTCATTTCATAGTAGAATCATTATTTAAATTAAATCTCGTTTAAAATATTTCGAGTAAATATTTGTCTATTGAACATTATGCAATAATTTTATGATTAGCATTTATTTGTGTTTTGAAATAAGAGTATTAATAGAAAAAAAAACTTTAGTCAAGAAATTATATTACAGTATAGTAGACTAGTGGATTATATTTGACAAATGAATCAAGGTAATTTATAGATTATTCAATCATTAATGAACTACTTATATCACCCAATAAAAGGCCCGGCTATCAAACGTGAGCACAAAAAAGCTGAACGTAATCACCCGTATGTACGAGCCGTACATCCCATTCTGGCGCCGGCAGCTGCCGTACACCATACTGTCCGTATCCGTCGTACTACTACTAATAATGGTGGCGTTGGGGGCTGTCATGTCGGTCATCGTATACCGGGGCTCCATTAGGGGTGCCCTTAGCATCAAACGCAGCTACGATACGACTAAAGGCACCTTTGAATTGGGTTTCATTCAGAAGTACTCATCCATTATCACCGCATCGACCGCCGCAGCACTTAATCTCATATTAATCTTGATTTTGAATCAAATCTATTCGCGAATCGCATACTATTTGACTGAACTAGAAATGCCCAGAACTCAGACAGAGTTTGACAACTCCCTGACCCTCAAGATGTTTGTCCTGCAGTTCATTAACTACTACTCATCCCTATTGTATATCGCCTTCTTTAAGGGCAGGTTTATCGGTACCCCCGGAGAGTTCGATGACGAGAGTCTCACTCAGGAGGAGTGCGGCACCGGTAGGTTTTATTTGTTATGTTTGTTAGATACCAGTCCTTCATTCATTATTGTTTAATTTATGTGGATATACTAAACATTAAATTAAATACTATACAGAATATTGTGCGGAATACTACAGTAAATAATATACAGAATACTACAGTAAATAATATACAGAATACTACAGTAAATAATATACAGAATACTACAGTAAATAATATACAGAATACTACAGTAAATAATATACAGAATACTACAGTAAATGCTATACAGAATAAGCCAAAAAACATATAATACTCTAAATACAATACTAATTTCAAATGCCTGTCTCTCACACACATAACAGGGGGCTGTCTGTTAGAGTTGGCCATTCAGTTGGCTATAATAATGGTGGGAAAGCAGGCGTTCAACGCACTCATGGAGATGGGAACCCCGGTATTTATTTCAAATGCCTGTCTCTCACACACATAACAGGGGGCTGTCTGTTAGAGTTGGCCATTCAGTTGGCTATAATAATGGTGGGAAAGCAGGCGTTCAACGCACTCATGGAGATGGGAACCCCGGTATTCAAGCGATTCTGGAAGCGGTGGCGATATCGCAAAGAGGACTCCATAGAGACCATGAATGTGCCGCAATGGGAGGACGACTATGTGCTGGCTAACTGGGGGCCCACATCCCTGTTCTACGAGTACCTCGAAATGGTCATACAGTTCGGGTTCGTCACAATCTTCGTGTCGGCCTTTCCTTTGGCGCCGCTCTTTGCGCTCATTAACAATATATTTGAGATCCGATTGGACGCCAGGAAAATGATTCTCGCATTTAAGAGACCCGTTGCTCAGAGGTATGTCCACTCATTGTGTTTTATAATACAGTTGTGTTAATATTCTGTAGTATTTGCTTATATTGTTTTATTATTTAAAGAATATTCTATAATTAGAGAGTAAATAATGTAAAAAGCTATCAATAAATAGAATATAATTACCGTATATATTAACAACTAAATAAATAAAGAATATTAAGAAATACTGTACATTGTATACGCTATATAAATATGAATATAAGACAAATAATTGCTATTTTGTTTATTTGACACTAGAGTGAAAAACATAGGCATTTGGTACAGAATACTGGACTCAATTGGGAAGCTGTCGGTCATAACGAATGCACTGATCATAGCGTTTACCACAGAATTCGTGCCGCGAATGTTCTACTATATGGAGAACGGGTCGCTCTATCACTACACCAACTCTACCCTCTCCTTCTTCAACGCCAAGGAGGCTAACCATCACTTGAAGCTCGGGGTCGACAACTCCACGCTTACCAACTGTGTGTTAGTATCCATGCCATACATGATCTCTTCACATGTATGACAACTCACGAGAATATTCTTTGAAATTAATTTACAAATTGCTTAGAGTTCACAAATCATTAATAAATATAGCAATCAAATAAATTAATCTTATTTGCAATATTGTAGTCTATATCAGAATTTACTTTAGTATTGAGTTTTAGTATATTTACTAATTTCTAATTAGGAATTAATTTTTAATAATTTATATACATCTCATATATCTATTTAAATCCCAATTAATAACGTATAATCTATTTTGTGAACAGGTATGGGGACTACCGTGAACCTCCCTGGGCGGAACAATCTCGCATATATAAGCCGACGGCGTACTACTGGCGCCTACTAGCCGTGCGTCTGGCCTTTGTGGTGATCTTCGAGAACGTGATCGCGTCGTTGACATCGTTGATGCGATGGGTCATACCGGACGTCCCCCAACAGCTCCGGCAGCAAATGAGACAACACGCCTACCTCACCAATGAGCTCATTATACAACAGGAGTATAAGCGCGCCAAAGAGCTGAGATCAGCCGGTAAACAGCACTCCGTGGTGACCATCGATGAGCCGCAGCTCACCAAACGGATCCCATCGGCCAAAGATCACATCGATATGTGACCAAAAGATTGTGAACTCATTTTGTTGTCCATTCGTATTGATTATAGGTTTGAATTTATGAATATTTATGAATATTCCGCCTGAAATAAAGAGCCTATAGAACAACGGAGAGTAATATATTACATAAAAATTTGCGTAACAAAAATAGCTAGCTACTAAACAGAATTTAATTTAATAACATATTTAAATATATATAATATTAATAAGAATAAAATTCATTTCATTGAATCGATTGTATTTTGATTGAGTTATTTAAATTGCTTTACAAACGAGAATTACAGGTAATAAAAGTTAGTAATGAACGCAATCAGTATTTGTCTAGAAATCGTATTACCGGTAATAAAACGCAAAGAATTAGCATTATATAAAGACTAATACCTTATCCTGTGGCCCAAGATTGCAAATTTTCAATTATAGTGTTGTTTTACTAATTAAACAGATTTCACATGACCTAGCACCAAACGTTCCAGAAAGACTACCTAATCTGTAATGCAGGTAAGTATCGTTTCGGTAGTAACACTCTATAAGACTACTGACCCGTTTTCAGAGTGTTAACGATACTTACCTGCATTACAGATTAGGTAGTCTTTCTGGAACGTTTGCCTAGCACACAAAACTGCACAAATACTTTGTATACACTCTTGCCCACACTTAATCCCTTTATTAAGATACTGTACTGGATGTAATCCATGTTTCCCAAAATAACATGTGGTTTGATTGCAATTTGTCTGCAGGTGTGCCAAGTCTTGTGATTTTATGAAATTTGTATCCCTTTTGACATCATTATAGAGTTCATTAATACTGAACAATACATATGACATGTAAAGCATGTGTTGTTTAAAAGGCATTTCAATCTCACATTCAGTGCCAATACGTCCCACACATGAGTCGCACGTGTTTTCAATCAACAACTCATCACTCATTATAACTGCAGAGGAATGCCATCAAGAAGTGAATCAACGCTANAATACTCCCACACATGAGTCGCACGTGTTTTCAATCAACAACTCATCACTCATTATAACTGCAGAGGAATGCCATCAAGAAGTGAATCAACGCTAACACAAGTCTTCGGAAAAGACTCTTTCGACAGATTTGGTGACGATTTATGTGAACACGTGTTGTCTTATCTCACTCTCGAAGACCGGTTCCGATGTGAATGTGTGTCCAAACAGTGGCAGACATTCATATATACCACACAAACTCATCTGAGATGTGATCCTGAATTTAAAATTAGAAATATTGTGTCCTTTGAATGGATACTAAAGAAGTGCCAAAACATCACAAAAATGAATTCAATCATTGAATCCATCGATAACTCAATGTTTGAGTTAATTATAAAACATTGCAATCATTTGAATGCCATTTGTGTTGATTTCAATGTCTTAAGCATCGAAACAATCGCTAAGTTTTTCATGAAATTTGGCAAAAAATTGAAATCAATTCAATCGCTTAACTCTTATGGCGAGAGCACTACAAACGGAAAGTGTGTCGACAATGGCCTTAAGTTTTGCACAAATTTAACACAACTTAAGTTGTATGGCATCTCATTGTCGGCTGTATTAACTTCACCGACAAATGATGTATTGTTTCACAGATTAAACACATTTTGGTTTCAATACACGAATGAAGACGTGAATGGATTTGAAGTATTTGTCAAAAGATATGAATGAAGTTTAATCAAATGCAGTCTCACAAATATTTAATCTTACAAGCAACATTTCTGTGCTTTCAACTAAAGTATAGCTATACTAATGTAAGATTTTATACTTTAGTCGAAAGCACAGAAAATTTGCTTATAAGATAAAATATTTGTGAGACTGCATTTGATTAATCTTAAGTCATATGCAAAGACTATGAAATCAATTGAAGTGAGAATCGATGAGAATTGTGACGAGAAGTCAATCGCAGTACTAATGACTGGTTTGTCACAAATGACACAATTATGTGATTTGCAGATAATTTACTGTTTAGAGTACGAGAATGTAAATTGTGATCAATTGAAACCAATTGGTGTTAACTGTTATCGTCTCAAACGACTAGTACTCCATAATATGTGGTTTGCTTTGCATGAATACAACCAAATGACGGAAACATTTCATGAATTTCAAGCATCTAATGAACTAATGTCTCAATTAATGCAAACAATTAATGAATACTTCAATCAATTAAAACGACTCGAAATGTATGGAAATTTTCCAAAAGAGTTTGTATTCAACAGTCAATCACTGAATCGTTGCAAACGTATCACTCATTTCACTCTATGGTCTGAAGGTATCCCTTATGGCGAAGACTTTGCTCGTGATATCGACAAACATTTACCACATATTCAGTACATAAAGTTTGTTATGCCACATATAACAGATAGTGTATTGAACTCATTGTCTAAACTCCCGAAAATACAAACAATTGAATTGAATTATTGCACCGAAAAGTTCACTCTTAAGGCAATTCATAATCTAATCACTAATTGTCCCAAAATGAACACAATTGTTGTAAACCAGAGTAGATCAACTGTAATTGATTGTAAGTACCTGGGCCACCTGACATAAAAAAACAGTTCACAATAATCATAGCATTTAATGAATGATTTTGTGTGACATTTTATAAAAATATTTTTAAATATAAAATATAAATATGATGAAAAAAATCCAATAAATAATTTCACATTTGTAGTAAAAATCCAAAAGGTCTTAACATTTTAATTGCTTACACATACAGTACAGTATANGAAAAAAATCCAATAAATAATTTCACATTTGTAGTAAAAATCCAAAAGGTCTTAACATTTTAATTGCTTACACATACAGTACAGTATATCATACAAAAGATTTTATAGTTATGACCTTTTAGATTTTTACTCAAAATATCAAATTATTCATTTGATTTGTTGTCTCACTTATATTAGTCAAAGTATTTATAAAAAGTATTGTCCCTTAAATAATTTCCAACCCATTTATAAAATAATTATATTTGTGTATGAGTTTTGAAAATGAGATTACAAATGTTGTAATATGGCTAATATTGGCCAAGATGCTACATACTGTTGTAAACGATAAAAAAGTATGTGAATACATTGAAAATTTCATGTATTTCTGTCAAACATTTCATACAATTAATTAAAACATTTGAATAAAATAAATGGAAAAAAGTTTAGGAATAAACCAAAAATGAATGATAAGTTTGCAATCTACAATCTGCTTTAATGAATCAAGCGAATTATAAAACTAGTCAGAGTTGTGATCATAATTATTTTGGTTAAAGTTAAATCTCTTGAGTTTTGACAACTGATGCACCGATTCCTCGATACCACGGCTTATCTCCAATCGACTCTCAATCTTAAGTCTCTGAATATGTGGTAAATGGGTATCAATGCAGTCAATGAACCACTCATTGAATGCGAAATTCGGTATACAATTAGCGATATATACCGAAATATATATCGATAATTAGTAATTAGCGATAAATGAGTCAATCGTCTCAAACGAGACAACGATTTGACGGATAAATCGTCCCTAAATTCATTGCAAGAATTATATATAGGATTGAAAACTGAAAGTTCGTAATCGTTTCAAACAATTGATTGATTGCCATAAGTCTTTCATTATTATCATGTCTAAATCATGTAATGTTAATCACAATACTTTTAAAGTGCATGGAATTTGAGTTATACTGTATTAGATTTAAATGATTTTAATGTACTAACTTATAATGAGTTTAATAATGAAATAGGCAATATTTGTTAGAATATTCTATGATATAATTAAATTACAAGTGAATCCCTAAAAAATTAAGTTAGCAAATAGTAAGGATTAGTTATAAATTATAAACTCATGTATAAATATCAAGAATAGCGTACAGAGTAAAGAATTTTTATTGTATTGAAAACTATGAATTTGAATTGAAATTGAATACTAATAGCAATCATAACTAATTGAATGATGAGAATCGGTATTTCAGACGATCACAGGACTCGTACTTTCAGTTCTTTCAGTCTTGAAGTCAAATCTCTTGAGTCGAGACAACTTAAGCACCGATTCCTCAATACCACGGCTTATCTCCAATCGGCTCTCAATCACAAGACTCTGAATGTGTGGTAAATGTGTGTCAATGCAGTCAAAGAACGACTCATTCAATGCACACTTCGGTATAGTTAGCGACAAATGAGTTAATCGTTTCAAAGCATACAATGAATTGACCGACAAATCGTCAAAATATATTTTCTTGCAATCGGATTGTAGACTAAGAGCTCGCAATCGTCCGAAACAGTGAATTGATTGCCAAATATCTCTCAATAATCCTTTGGTCTTCACTGAATTGATAGCTAATTTCAAGTCTTTAATGAGTTTGCATTGAAATCCTATTAATCTGAGACGAATAGCGAATATAATACTAATCGTATCAATGGTTGACATTTGATCGCAACGGATAGTAATAGATAATCGCCTCAAAGCTGTCAATTGTGTCAATCCTTTCAACAGATCAACAATTTTTACGCCTTCTTCAGAGAAATCAATCTCAATAGACTTCAAGTGGTGTCTGTAGTGATCGACAAATGGTGTCCAAAGGGACCAATCGGACGAAGACACAAAACCAATGGTATATCGAGTCAATCCCTTAATCATCAGATGGTTGTCCTCATCGAAAAGTATGGCAAAAGTGGTGGGAAAGCCGGGACCCGCGGCTCCAAAACCTTCATATCTGTTCAGTTGTCTCAGTCGTGTCAATGACTTGGAGTGGCGTTTGATGGGAGCGTTAGGCCACGAATACGTCGATATAGTAGTCAATTGCGGGCCATATTTGTCCAGAAGTTTGTCCACCATTTGGTGACTAATCCACACCCAGAAGCTGACGTGAATTGTCTTCACTGAGTGTTTGTATGAATCCATTAGTATCTCAAACACTCTTTCTGTTGCCTCCCATTTGATGGACATATCAATGCATGTAATGAATGGTAACTTCTTTATCATTGAATCCAACGCTTTCATATCAATGTCTCGAGGATTTTTTTCTCGTGTCTCCATTGGATCACCAAACATGACAATGAATTCATTCTCATCCGGGTCCACAATATTCGAC